AAATCATTTTTTTATTACTTCTTTTATTAATTTTCTTATCTTTTACAAATTTATTATTTTTCTAGTTTCATTATCTTTTAATAGTTTTGCCAATTTCGACAATTTTTGACAGTTTCTCCAGTTTCTCCAGTTTCGCCATTTTCAATTTTTTTTTGGCGAAACCTCTAAGTTTCGCCTAACAACACTAATCCTGTGCTATTAAATAATCTTTTCGGCTATAGTGAATTGTAGCGAATAATAGACAAGATTTGAATAAAGAATGTTAAAAATGTTAAACATTTTATACTTTAATGGTTCAAACAAATAAATTTATAAATTATTTGATGTAAAAACAGTTTAGTGCAATAATTTTTTTAAAAAATTGCAAGTATTTCACTAGACAAATTTTTTTAAAGAATTTATATACAAATAAATAAGCGTAATAAATTTAATCAAATAATTTGCTGATATCGAAAACATAATTTGCTAAATTATCACAGATTTTGCAGTCCCTAGTTCCAATCTTTTAACCAACACCCAATTCGTCATTCCCAAACCCGAAAAGGGATAGCTACGATATTCGGATTGGAATTGGACCCCTCCATAATCCAGCATCCATTTGATACTGATAAAATAACCCTTTTTTTTTTTTTTTAGAAGGCTTGATAGCAAAAAAATGGTTTTGCCCATTTTTATTGATCTGCCTTAAAAAGACGCGTCGATTTAATCAGCACATTTATGTTTGAATATATATTTGGAAAGAATTACTAATTTCTGAAAGAAGATATAAACCTGGATGCCTGACTATTGAGAGTCCAAAATATATAGCCAGTGCGATTTTGAGTTGAAAAGCAGTGTAAAAAATTCGATGTGCGTATGTGCGGATCGCACATGAAATTTTCTTATTTTAAGATCAAGTAAGCATGTAATCATATGAACGCACCTACTTTTCAAACAGAATTTTTTAAAAAAATGATATGCGGATACATCTATTTAATATCAAATGTTTGTGATATTGTGATGTACTTTCTTGTTATTCTGACTCACGATATCCACGATGAGTTTTATTTTATTATTTTTTTGTATCATTTGTTGGTGAGAAAGACAATAAAAATGGGTCCGAACAATGGTTTTGCGGCTTGATATTTTAACGATCTTCAGTTCAAAGTAATAAACAAATCAGGCTTAAGCTATTGTTTAATCGTATAATAATCAATAATCAATATTCAATGCCACGCATGGCTTAGATAAAAAAAAAATTTATTTATTATCTTAAGTTCGAATTTATTGTCTTAATTGCAATGACAATAAGATAAAATGGAAACTGCACAACCATATATCCACCATAAAAAAGAAGAGACTAACGAATTTGAACTTGATATAGATGTTGAGCCACATAATGGATATCCTATTACGCAAATTGTTTGTTCACCTAAGATGGAGTATGCTGCTACATTAAGCGAATTTGATAAATCCGTGGTCTTGTGGTCTATCGATTTAAAAAGCCATAGTTTGGAATATGAAAACATTATTTCAATTAATAATATTGATGTTGGACCGGGAACATCAACAACATTTACAGTTTCAGATGATGGATTTGTTGCAATGAAACTTCGTAGACTAAATCCTCGTAACTTTGGTGAGTTAATTTTTAAATAAAAGTTGGCTTTATTATTTAAATTTAAACTCAGGATTGACCAGATTTATTAATTCTCTTATTAAGAAATTTACAACCTCAAAATAGAAATCGAAATATCCCCTCTGTATTTTCCTTATTTACACAAGAATATTAGTCATTTGTCCTTTATTACTAATGGAAACCTCGTGACGATCAGCACTAACGAACACAAAGCATATATTCTTTTTCCAAAAAAAACAAATGATAATGTCAAATGGATTTTCAAATCAATGATTGAACTGAAAAATTTTAGTACTTCAGATAAAATATACATAGCTCCCAAAGGAAAATTGATTTTTTTTAAAGAAGAGACTTATGAGATCACGATATGGAATTTAGAAACTTTAATGATTGAAGCTCAAATTTTGTTGGATTGGAATTTAATTTCGAGTGCATTGGGTTAAGTGACGATGAAGAACTATTAGGAAGATTTGCAAGTAGTTCCAAATTAAAATTAACGTATCTATACATTTTTTCTACAACAAACGGGATGAATTTATCAAAATGTATACTGCTGTGATACCGGATATCGAACTACCCCAGGATCGCCGTCAAATTTTCACTTTCACGTGATGATCATCCAATAGTGTGTTTCGTTTTAATGTAAC